AATGGAGTGTCAGTCGTAGAAGTAGAACAGTAGCAGTCGTAGCCGTAGTTAGATATCAGTTGTAACAGTCGCAGTTGTATCAGTTGTAACAGTCATAAGAATTCAGTCGCTCATCTAAGTTGTAACCGTAAGATTTTGAAATTAATATTGTACCTTTTCTGATACCTGTTTTAAATAAATCTTAATAGTAGGATTAAACTGGGTGTATGTTCACCTCGCACCTCTCACCCTAAAATTAAATCCCTACATATATATATATATATATATATATATATATATATATATATGTTTTTATGTGTATATAGTAACTAATAATGTCCGTCTGATTTTTACGCTCTCGGACTGTAAATATTCATTTTGTTTTTCGTTAATCATTTGTTAGGAGAATATAATATATGACTTTGTTACCTTGGTAACGTAACAAGAAAATTTATTTTTAATTCCTTTATTCAATCTTTTCAGTCCAAAAAAATCTGAAAACGATATACTCACACATTATGTTAACATTATGATAACATTTTAACTTCTTATTTTAACTACTACCACTTCTTTATTCTTTCCATTGTCCCATTGTCATTTATTCTCATCTTTTTCCTTAACTTTTTCTTTCTTTGAAATCCCTACTTCTTCTCTCCATAGCAGATAAACGATTTTATGACCGTGTTTTGTTTTTGGCCACGCCATAAGTACGCGCGTGCACAAAAATACACATCAGCGCGCACGCGCGGATCCCATACATCCATACATATACTTGGCTCATATACTATACAACGCGGACAAAAGAAAGTATAACATTTTTTGTAGCTTTATTTCTAAGAAATTTATCTTATAAAAATGTCTATATTCTCAATTCCAATAGCGTTTGATATTTTACGTCCTTACATTTCTTCTGTTTTTATATATACGTAATTCACATACGGCACAAAACACTGCTTCTGGTTCATTCCTGAATTTCTTTTATTGTTGTTACAATTCTTTATATTATTTTTTGGTCAAGACTTTTTTCATATCTTGATTAATAAGTGGCTATCAGTCGAAAATACTGCTTTTAATGAATCGAATAATAATTATTAATTTATTTTTATAATTTAAATAGTATTATAATTATGCTTTTTTTTTAAATATTGATTAAATATTTATTTTTTTGTCGGTCAATATTTCGTACATTTTAGCTGATTAGACAGAAGTAGAAGTAGAAATATATTTTATTATTGATAGTACATTTATATGTTTAAATTTAATAACAAATTTAATAATTTAT